ACGCCGATACGGACACCGATTCCAACCGGCATCTATACCGTTGTAAATGCCCCGTCTCTCTGCCTCTCTGGTCTTGTGACTACTCAGCTGCAGGCTACCTTCCAAGCAGCGGGCTATGCTTATAAACTTTGCTCTGAAATTAAGCTTTCCATTACAGGGTGTAACTCTGTTTAGGCTAGCACTGTAATTTAAACTCTGGCAAGCCATAGAAGAAGATTGTAACTTAGTTTTGAGGAGCAAAATCTGAACTATAGAGAAATATTTGAAGTTTGGATAAGTTGAAAAGGCAAAATCCTCGGGGGGGGGTTTTGGAAAGGTAGCATGTCAATTAATTGACCACAAATTTCATCCATGTTGGTTTTCTGTCCGATGTGAAGGATGGAAAGACTATAGCCTGCAACCAAACTAGGGCTTCTTTTGAACTGACCCCTGTAGCGAAGTCATTTTATTTGCAGCACTGAACAGGAGATAATGGGTTTGATCTGGGGAGCTTTCCACTAATGCAACAAGGAGAGTTGCAAACTCGCCCTCATCCCCTCTCCAGTGTTCCCCCTAAGGTGCGTTAGTGTGAGCTATCTCGTAGTTTTTTAGCCTCTGGCTCACACATTTTTGTCTTAGCTCAGGAAAGGTGGCTCCAGAGCAAACTAATTTATGCAGTAGCCAAATCGCTCGCTCACAGCTTTAATGCCAGTAGCTCACAAAGTTGAATTTTTGCTCACAAGACTCCACAGCTTAGAGGGAGCATTGCCCCTCTCCCCATGTGCAGGGGGGCATTTTATTTAAGAGGTCCTCTGACTCTCAGCAGAGGATTTTTCTGGCTAGCTGAGGGAAGGGGAAATAGGAGAAAGATAGCTCATAGGGGCCAGTGGAATGTTTAACTGCATAGCATGCAAAACGTCTAGTTTCTGCTCTTAAGTCTCTCTTAAAGGCATCACGGCAGGCCATGCCAGTTTTTTCCTGGTTAGTTGGCAACCCTAAAACAAATTGTTTGGGACTAAATGGGAAATATTAACTCATCTGAATGATAAACAGTTTTAGGTTATTTAATTTCCCCCCTCTTCATTAGAGAAACCTACCTGCTTTGTTAAACTTGTAGCTTTAAAATTTAATTTAGTATTCCCCTCCCCCAGCTATGAGTTGAGTGGATCTTTATTTTGTTAGCCCATCTCAACCTCTGTCTTCAACCGTGACATTGATCTATGCTGGGATAATGTCATTGCTGAGAGCCTTATAAATCATGTTGGATAGCAAAATATTTCCGTTGATCCTTGAGTCCGTTCTTCTTGGCGGGGTGGAGGGGAGAGCTGTGGTGGCCCGTCCAAGGTTTCACAGTCCTTTTGCACAAATTGCTGAGCATGTGAAATCAACCAGACACACCCGCGTCACTCTCCAGGGCAAACGTGTTGCCCAATGAGCCATGAAAGGTTACTTACTCCTTGCCCTTAGCATCTTTCATCAACTTAAGTATTGTTATGTGCTCCCCCACTGCTGTAAGTGGCCAGAAATGGGGCTGAGACAGCTATGCTTGCGGTCCCTTCACTGTTGGAAGACAGAACCTTGGAGAGTTATATGTTTACTAAGAATAAGGCTGACTCTGGAAATAAATACAACAAACTCTAGAAAGAAGCTCTGGGCAGGTGCCCTGGCCTTGGGCACCCAGTGTCAATTTGCTGTAGTGACCTCAGCAGCATATAATGACACAGAGTCCACCATTTTCTCCAGGGGATCTGATCTCTGCCATCTGAAGAGCAGCTGTAATTCGGAGTGATCTCCAGCCCTCACCTGGAGATTGGCAGCAGTGGTTCCCCAGGAGGAAATGGCTGGTTTGGAGAGTGGAGCCTATGGCATTGTACCTGTTTGAGGTCCCACCCCTCCCCAAACCCCACCCTCTCCAGGCTCTACCCCTCAAATCTCCAGGAATTTCCCAACCTGGAGGTTCCCAACCATCAACCTACCTTTATATGCCCCTCTGACTTCAGATTTCCATCTCCTCTCCCCTCCCTCCAAGACAGCAGTTGTAATTCTGAGTGATCTCTTATATCTATAACACTTGTTCTATTTAAAAATAGGATACAGAGGCATTCCTACAGGGCAGCAAGTCTACCTCCCCAGAGCAGAGCCTGAGGGAGAGATACTGCATCCACAACAATGAATTTTGCTTTGTCTCTTCCCAACTTGAACCACATCTGGCCATTCCTTGCAGCTGGAAGGAGAATCAACTTCTCCAACCTCCCTGAATATTTAATAGAGCTATCAGAGGTGTATCACTTGAGACAGTACCCACTGAGGAACATTACCATTCTTTCTTAATCTGCTTCAGTTACCACTAGGTGGTAAGTCAGGGGGCCAGGCCCCAAGATGCCCCACTGTAGCTACGGGCCTGGGGGTTTGCTACTGCAGACTAACACAGCTACCCTGCAGGAGTATCAGTGGCAAGGTTCTCAGTCCTAGAATCAATGCGATTCTTAAATTCAGATGAGACCTCTCCCATAAACGGGCCAGGCTGTTTTGGAGACTTCTTAAAATGCCACAGACAATTCATAGCAGAAGTACATTAAAATCAGTGGAAGGTGGGTGCAGCGGTTAAGAGCAGTGGACTCTAATCTGGAGAACCGGGTTTGATTCCTCACTCCTCCTCCACATGAAGCCTGCTGGGGGACTTTGGGCCAGTCACAGTTCTCTCAGCCCCACCTACCTCACAAGCAATGCTCCCTCTAAGCTGTGGAGCCTTGTGTGCAAAAATTCT